CTTTCCACCTCCCATCTTCCCATCACTAGATTCCAGGCACATGATACCATGTTTTGCTTTTCAAGGATTCTGGGCTCTAAACACAGATCATTTTGTAAGCCTGCTTTACTGGTTGAGTTACTTCCCCAGCCTTTTCAGTTTCTCATTTTTGTTTTGTTTGTTTTACATCATTTGTTTGTTTGTCAGGGGTGGTAGGGGTTACACACGTGCCATGATGTGCCGGTGGAGGTCAGAAGACAACCAGTGATTGTTGCTTCTCTCCTTCCTTCCCTGTGTGGATCCTGGGGATAAACCCAGGTCATCAGACTTGCAGGTAGCAGATACTGTTACCTGCCAAGCCATATTGCCAGCCCTTACCTTGAGTTTTTCAGAACCATATTTTGTCTTCTGTTGAAAATATTTTCTTTTTAAAAAGTTTATTATATGTATATTAAAAATAAGATTCATACAACTATTTATTTACTTGCATTTTCCCTTCTAACTGCTTTATTGATTCCTTCAAAAGAGTCAAAGCAACTGTGACCCGAGATACATAAAGTGACAGGAAGAGGCGTCATGGTAAGCTTGCTTGCGACCAATCAGGTGGAAATAGAAGGATGAGGGAAATGAACAAAGGCGACCATGGGCTGGCAGGCTGGAAGCATCAGGGGATGAGTGTGCAGTTTACAGGAAGAGTCGCATTTGAGTCTTCATTCATCAGTGGATGGATACGTGACTGTGATTCTGCTCATTCTGTGAATTGGCTTTCCTATCCATAAAGTGAAGGCATTACGCTTTATCTTGTAGAGTTGTATGATTTAGAGGTTATAATACGGGCTGTAACAGTTTCTAAGTAGTCAAGGAAGAAGCTGTTGCTTTCAGTGCAAAAGCTATTGTCATTCTGCAGCTGCTTGTTCTCTCACTCTACTGAGTACTGCGGACCAAGATCGCCTGAGACTGCAACAGACTTCTTCCTTCCACTGAGGTACAGCAACCATCCCAGCATAGCAGCTTCTCCCTACTGCTCAGTTTTATGGCAGACTACAGAGACTGTATCACTTTGTACCCATGGCTAAATCCTTCCCCAACCCACCTCAAAATTTCCAAAGGACAAGGTATCTAGATTTACTGCCAGTTCCAGATGTCAGCATGACAGCCATTGTGATTTGTAGACTGGAACTATGGTCCAAAAGCAAGCTGATTAACCCAGAAAACTGAGGTTGTTTCATCTCTAGATTCTTCCACAGGACCTGGAGTATCATTAGCTTGCTTAGCAGCCTAGTCACATGTTAGTTTCTCTTGGATTCGTGTTCCTCTAAAACTAAAACCACCAATATTTTCTTTAATTCACATGACCTCACCAGTATTCTTAAGTAAACTTTTTTTTTTCAGAGCCGGACTCTTGGGGTTCATCCTTTATAATTACATGTTTATTTGTATGTAAATACCATACTGGTAACTATACTTATAGGTATAATTATATTTACATATACAAACATTTATGGCTAAATTAATGTATTATATTTCTGAGATAACTGCCACATAAGGAGAAAATGTTTATTTTGGCTCAGGACTTCGTAGGCTTCGGCCCACCTGAGCCCATTGCTGTTAGACCTGAGGTAAGTAAGGCGGAAAACCATGGTAGCAGCACACGGCAGTGAAAGACATTCACCTCATGGCAGCAGGGAAACAGACTAGAAGGAGTCTGGCAGCCCAATAGCCCCTCTAAGGTCTCACATTCAGTTACCGCTCTTCCGTGAAACCCTGCCTTCTAACCGCTTCACTACCTCCGACATCAGCACAGGCTGGAGACCAAGCCTTCGGTACATAGGCTTTTAGGGGCTATCCAAACTACAGCAGTTTGTTTACACGAAGAGTCTCCCCAGTACTGAGCCCGGTATTACACACCTAGCATTTTTTGATGGGATGCTAGGAGTGTGCACTGACTTTTTGCCACATTCAAATGTGAGAGACGTTAAGTAGTTTGTGCAGCTTTTCGTAGCGCGCATGCTCAGATACATTACTTCCACCGGAGTTGGGTGAGCAGGGAACATTAGGAGTCCTTGGATCACCGTTTCTCTGGGAAGTAGTGACTAGGCCTGTACTGGGGCTGATTGGCCTAGATCATATCATATCTTTGTCCCAGCCCAAGGATTTTTGCATCTGCTTTTCTGGGAGCCCTGCTTGCTCTTCACCTCACCCCAGGACCTCACTTTTATTCCTGTGGTCTGTCTCCTGCCCTGTCATGCCCACTGTCACTCCTACTCAGCAGCATGTGATGATCAGACCCTCTGGGCCTTGTCAAGTCACTGGTCACATGTCTCAGTCCACGCTGGCCTGCAGGTCCTCAGTCACTGGAATATCCCAGAATGCTGCTGTCTCCTAAACCATTTTAAAGGTGGGTTCCCAAATGTCACTCACAGTGCAAATAAGATGAACAGTAGCCACACATAAGCCTGAAGCAAGTCTTCAACTCTCTGGCTGCTATAATGGGCAGTGTTAATTTTCAGTTTGGGACAATCTATAATCCCCTGGCAAGGGGGTTCTCAAGAAAGGATTATGTACATCATCAGGTTGGTCTGTGAAGGATTTTTCTTAGCTGGGTTATCTGAGTTAGGAAGACCCATCTTTAATTTGGACAACACTGATCATGGTCTGGACCCTGAAAACTGTATGAGTTTTTTGTTTGTTTGTTTGTTTGTTTAATGTATGTGAATACACTGTCACTCTCTCAGACACACCAGAAGAGGGCATCAGATCCCATTATAGATGGTTGTGAGCCACCATGTGGTTGCTAGGAATTGAACTCAGGACCTGTGGGAAAGTAGTCAGTTCTCTTAACTGTTGAGCCATCTCTCCAGCTTTTTGTTTTAACAGAACTGCACTGTGATTCTGCGTCCAGATGTGTTTTGACTGAGGATATGATGTGACTGGCTACATGCGATTCCTTTTTTGACTACCATGAAATGATAACATGTAACCTGGAAATGTAAGCCGAAAAATCACTACTTCCCTAAATTGATTTCAGGGCAGGGGAGGTCAGGGTATTTACAATCACAGAGACAGATGTTGAACTAAAGTGGGATCCTTGTGGGTTCCTGTACACGGAGGAATGGCCACACAGAGCAACTTATTCACGTCTCACAGTTTGTCTCCTGCAAGCTCCTGAACCACCTCCTTTGTTAAACTTCTCAGTGTGGTAAAAACTAAGGAGTAGTTTTTGTTTGTTATTTGTATTTTTTTTCTTTTTTTTTTTTTCCTTTTTCTTTTTTTGGTTTTTTGAGACAGGGTTTCTCTGTGTCGCCCTGGCTGTCCTGGAACTCACTCTGTAGACCAGGCTGGCCTCGGACTCAGAAATCCCCCTGCCTCTGCCTCCCAAGTGCTGGGATTAAAGGCGTGCGTGCGCCGCCACCACCACCCGGCCTGTTATTTGTATTTTGAGACACAGTCTTGCTATGCATCCCACGCTAACCTTAAATCCCCGATCCTCTTGCCTCAGCTTCCTAACTGCCAGGATTAAAGGTACGTGCCTCCATGGCTGGATTAAAGGTACGCGCCTCCATGGCTGGATTAAA